CGGGCCCCTCCGCCCCTCCTCATCCATCCCTCCTCCGACCTCCCCTCCTCGTCCTCCGCCTCCTTCCTCCTCCCCCATCCCCCGCGCCCCGCGCCTTGGACACGTCGAAGTCGACGTCAACAGCCGCCTCGGCGATGGCGGATCTGAGATCCTCTATCTTCGACCTGGCGCGCTTGGTCTTCTGGGTGGACTCCAGGCGGCTCCACTCGTTATCGGTCTTGCGCACGAACTGTACCATTGGCGCCGCGCGGCGCACCAAATGGCACCAGTGGGCTTGCCAGCCACCCTTCTCCCAATCGGTGCCCTGCTCGACATCGCCGAGGCGATGCATCGCAGACTGGATCACTGCGGCGGCGTTCCTCAGCTGGTCGCAGAAGGCCCGCAGCTGGGTGCAAGACATGCCCCTCAGCTCCGCAAAATCGGCCAAAGAGGCTGCGGCATCCTCCAGGTACCCAGCCAAGTACAAAGCGCGATAGGTCGCGATGTGGTTGGCAACCTCGACCCTATCGAACAACTTGATGGCATCGCCCGCCTTGGGGTGCAGGGCGACCAGGCTGCCGACATTGGGGCGCCCTGACAAGGAAGCAGTGACGCACCTCGCAAGCGCGATGACGCTGCTGTCGAGGCGCTCCCACGCGATCTCGGCGACCTGTCAGGCCCGCCCCGCCCCAGACATCCCCCCACCTCCACTTGAATCAGAGGGCCGGGAGGGAAGAGACGAGGAGAGGAAGCCAGGAAGAGAGGACTGAGGAAGAGGAGCCTGAGGAGCGAGAGGGAGAGGGGGGGAGAGGCTCAGAGGGAGAGGGAGGCAATGGGCAGCGGAGCACAGAGAGAAGCGGGGAAGAAGGGTTGGGAAGGTTACGGGGGAGGGTTGGGAAGGTCACGATGCCGTTACGATGCCAAGAAGAGGAGCGGCTGGACACTGTAGTGCAAGGTATGTTTGCCCCTGTCTCTGGAGGGCGAGGGAATGAGAGAGAGAGAGAGAGGGAGGGGCAGAGGCAGAGGAAGGACTGGGGCCGACTCGGGAGGGGAGGCCGCCCTGGACATGGACGAGCTGGACGAGACGAGTCGACGTGGTGACGTCGACAAGGCCCGCCGCGCTCGCCGGGAGAGGGGGGGTGGGCGGGTGGAATGGCATTGGGTTTGGGTCTGGGTCGGTCGGAGGGGGAGGGGAGATGCGGACGAGGAGGGAGGAGCTAGGAGTTGTTCCGATGACCTTGCTAACCAGCGCGTTGATCGCGCTGCCGAACAGAACGTCGCTGTTCTCGGGGGTGACCGTCTCGTCCGGGATCTCGGAGACCATGCGGATGATGTCGAGCGAATCCGTCCCAACCAAAACTTTGCTCAACTCCGCAGCCCCCCCAGCGTAGGCAGCGTGCATGCGCTTCAACAATGACACTGCGCGAATACCAGTAATATGCTGTGAAGGATTGGCCGTAAGAAACGCTTTAGTCCTGCCCAGCAACTCGCCGCCACCATCGGCGGATGCGACCAAGTGGCACAGCGCCACGAAGCTCTGGGGGTCTGGGCAGTTGTGAGATTTAGCCGCCTTCTCGATCTCCTTGTCGTCGATGCTCTCCACAGGCTCCTCGGCCTCCATATCATCATCGTCGTCGCCATCCTCCCCATCAAGGTCCGGGTCATCGTCGCGGGCGGCCTCGCCAATGAGCCCCCCCAGGATCGTTTTGACCTGAGTGCGTGCTTTCATCCACCATCGGTAAGACTTGAAGTCGTTCGCGGTGTGCTGCCTATACTTTTTGACATCCTCATCGTCCTCGCACTCCGCGTCGTTGAGATCCTGGAAGCGCTCCCTCTCGAACTTGAAGATAAACTCCAGGGAGCTGCGATCCATGATGCCCTTCGCGGCTGGTAGGCGCACGACCCCGTTGAGGCCGAACTCGACGCACCAGGCAGTGGCCCTGTCAATCTCATTCTTCAAAGCGGTAAATTCTTCTGGCTTCAGCACCTCAGTCGTAAACTCCACCGCATTCTGCGCGTCGTGCAGGTACGTCACTTCCTGGCCGCTTGCGGTAGCCTCTTTCACCAGCTCCGAGCGGGCGGCCTTCTTTTGCTTCTTCTTCTTCGGCTCCTTCGCCTCATTCGCCTCCTTCTCGTCTTTCGAAGCGGCAGCCCGGCTTGCCTGGAACGCCTTGCTCTCGGTCATCACGCAAGCCAATTTGACGAGTTTCTTGGCGTCTGCTCGACCCTGCAAGAGCCATGGGACGCCATCGTTCGTGGGCACCGCAAATTTCAACACATGGACCGCCATCTTCATTAAACCCATCTTCGCAAGTTGGCTCATGACCTGGTCGAACATGAAGAAGACCATGTTGTTTGAGAGCCTGTGGTCTGAGAAGCAGCAGTGCGCGTTCATGTAGGTCTCGAACTCGCTCCAGATGCCCAGGCTGTCCAACTTGTTCTTCGTCGCCCTGCAGTAGCGAAACCCGTCGTACGTGTCGAAGTACCCCTTAAAACGAAGAGACTTCTTCAGCCATTCCATGAGATGGGCTTGCTTCTGGCCCTTCGTCATCTTCTCGGTCTCGCCCTTCTGCTTCCTCTTCTTCTTGGCGTCGTCATCGCTGGAGTCGCCGCCGTCGTGCTCGTCCTTGCAAGTTGCGTCCGCCGCCAAAACCTTGTTGAAGCACTCCATGATCGAGCGGCCCTTGGACGACACGCCGTTCAGCTCGTTGCCCTCGTTCTTGAAGAAGTGGATAACTCCAGGCGGGCTGCGGTGATCCAGCACTGTCACCTCGATGCCAGTCTTGAAGCTGGCGATGATCTGCGGGTTCTTCGGCGCTTCCGCACGCGCGTCGTACGCCGCCTCGATCACGTGGGCTCCCCCGACCACCCAGTACTTCGAGCCGCCATCCATCATGATCACCGTGGGTTCGTTGCGGGCGCCGAGCACGTAACCCTTCTTGAGGAAGATCATCTTGTACCGGCGCCTGGTGTCAGCCTGGTCCCTGTCGTTCAGCGGGTGGCGGATGAGGTTCTTCTCATTGGCATCATTGAACCACGGGATGGTCTCGTGCTCCTGATGGGTCCACAAAAGGGCAACAAAAAGCTTCAAAAAGGGATGTGGATGAGTGGATGAGGAGAGGAGGGGGAGGGAGGGAGGAGGAAGGAGGAGGAGGAGGTAGTAGGTGGACTGAGGACTGAGGAAGACTTGAGGAAGGCGAGGATTTGTGGAAGAGAGGAGGAGGACGACGAAGCGACGGAGGAGCAGGAGCATGATGATGAGTGTGAGCGGGGGAGAGGGGGAGGGCGGATGGAGAAGGAGGAGGAGGAGGGATGATGGACTGGGAGAGCTCCGCCGGAGGAATGCCGGAGGAAGGGAAGGGAGGAGGCGCGGAGGATAAGGACAGCAGAGAGGGGGAGGAGCGAGGAGGGGGAGGAGGAAGGAGGAGAAGGAAATTGGTTGGTTGGTTGGCATCCTTCGTCACGTACCAACTGCGGACCTGGTCTTGAAGCTCGCGCCCCTCGACGCCCGGGAAGAAGATCCGGATGTCCTCGACCTTCGGGTCCCAGGGCGAGCGTCCACCCGGCACGAAGGAGGGGGAGGGGGAGGGGGCGGGGGGGGCCCAAAGCTCGACCGCCATCCTCCAGAGAAGCCGAGCGTCACACGGGGGGTCTTTCTAGCCCCCCGCCTGCGAAGCTGCCGGGGGCAGGCCCCTCGGCGCTGCTGGCAGGGCCGCTCGGGCCCGCAGCAGCGCCGCCAGTCGTCCCAGTACGCGCGCGCACGCGGCCGCCGCCGGGGGCCATTGCGACCACAGAGGGGGCGGTGTTACCGCAGGGGGGCGCCTGAATTCCACCGCGGCGGGGGGCAGGGCCCTGGGCTGGGATGCTAGAAACAGAGACAGATGTGCGGCGGGCATGGCCCTGCCGGGGCCCCGAGATGAGATGAGCGAGCGAGCGAGCAAAGCGAGCAGCGAGCGCCTGAAAGTGGAGGTGGGCGGGGAGGAGGAGGCGGAGGCTGAGGAGGATCAGGGGGAGGACAAGGAGGAGGGGGAGGGTGAGGCGGGCTCAGGGTTGGCGGTCCCAGGGACGGAAGGGCGGCCCTCCATCCGCTGCAGGCGCGGCGAGCCGCGAGCCGCACCTCCTGGTGCCGATCCCGATCGGCATCTGCGGCATCGCCGAAGACTCCGAAGAGAGGGGAGGGGAGGGGCGGGGTGCCGCTTCCATTCGCCCTATCATCCCATCATCCCCTCATCTGGCCCCTCATCCAGCCTCGTCGCCACGGCTGGACGCAGCTCGAAAAACTGGTGCGTATCATCCAGGCCCCGGACCCCGCAGCCTCGCCTCACCGAGTACACGTTTGTTTTTTTTTTCAGCAGCTCGAGGGGATGGATCTCAGATCTCCAGGCGCGCGCGTCCATCCGTGCCGACGGCTGAGGCCCACTGCAACCCACAAGCGAATGGGCAAGCCCTCCTGGGCTGTTACACAACAGCCACACCTAAAGCACGGCATGTTGAGTGGATCACCCACAACAACAAAGCACACAGCATGTGGAGTGCAAGAGTCTTCCGAAGAGTTCGAAGATGACGAGAGGGCCCCGATGGGGCCTTGGGCGGCCTTGGGCCTTTGGTGGCCTAGCTCAGGTGTAGTGTACAACTTCAGTGGCAACCTGAGCAGACAGACAAAATACAAAATCCCCCTCGTGAATGAAAATGAAATTCAATCTCACTCTGTCGCGCCCGGCGGCGGCTCGCTCGCTGCCTCCGAGCGGACCAGGAAGTCCTGCGGGTGCGGGGTCCCAGATCAGATGAGGATGAGGAGGAGGAGGGGGAGGAGGAGAGGTGGAGGAGTATATGGAGAGTGACCTGACGGGGGGCCCAAGCACGCTTTAGGGGTTGATGGGGGCCCAGGGTCCTCGTTCAGTTCGTCGAGCCTCACGATCGTCTTGCGGCGCCGCAGGCGCTTGCCGGGGGGGGGGCCCTCGTCGGCGCTGCCAGCGCCACTGGCGGCAGCGGCACCGCCAGCACCACCGCTGCCAGCACTGTCAGCGGCAGAGGTCGTAGCAGCGCTCGTCGTCGTAGCCGTAGTAGCCGCAGTAGCCGTCGCCGCCGAAGGCGAAGGACTGGCACTGGCGCTGCCGGAGTCGTCCGCGAAGAGAGGAACTGGAGGAGGAGGCAGAGCCCTCTTCTTCGCCATGGGACGGTCGTCGGACGGCGCACGCTTGACGTCGGACGGAGTGCCTCCTGGGGGAGGCGCGCCCCCGTCAGCAGGCGGCCGAACGACCTTGCTCTTGGTCATGAGCGGCCCCAGCTTGAGCACGGTGATGAGCATCTGCCCCCCGAGACTCTGCGCGTGCATGGCGTTGCCCATCTGCTTCACCTGGGGCGCCCGGGTCCGGAAGGGAGGGGCGGGGGCGCCCGTGCTGAACTGGCAAGTGGCGCCCGCGATCGCTACCGCGGTTGCCGTCGAAGGGAACCCCATCGCCAGCCACAGCTCCGACGTCGTAAACCAACGATGTACCGTCGGGCAGAACAACAGGCCCTGCCCTGATATAAGCGTCGGGAGCTTCCCGTTGCGGCCACGCACAACACGTTTGTCAGCATCCTGCATCACATCGCAGACGAGCCCGGCCACGGAGTAGATCTGGATGTATCGGTCCAGGCGGTGGCGCTCGGGGATACTGAGGGCCTGCAGGTACGAGCCGGGGGGGTCGATGAAGTTGTGCCACGACGCGTCCGCCGTCTCCGGCCGCACGCACCTGGCAGATGGGCCCCCTCGCCCACATCAACCCCCATCCCCCCGCCCAGCCACCCACGTATGCTGGGCGGGGCGAGGGCGGAGCGCGGGCGTGTTGGCCCAACGCACCTCTCAAGCACGCTGGGGCGGTTGGCCGCCCACTCGAACTCGGCGGCACGCTCGGCGCGGCTGGAGATGCTGTAGTCCTCGAACGTGTAGCCGCAGCGAGCGGTGAACAGCTCCCGACCGGTCTGGACCACGTCGACGGAAGACATGAGCAAGCTGGAAAGGTCCGACGTCGCCATCTGGAGGCCGAGGGTCTCCGTGATCCACCCCTTATGGATGCAGATGCAGTACTGGCGCACGCGCACAATGGCGAACCCGCACGTCGAGGGGTCCACGACCGAGCGCAGGATCACGTACTCGTGCCCCAAGTGGGTCTTGAGCTCGAGGTCGCCGAACGACTCCACGTTCTCGTGGATGATGACCTGTGGCGCGGCAGGGCAGGAGGGCAGGAGAGATGGAGGAGGGGGAGGGGGCTCGGCTCGGACCTTCTCCTTCAGCCTCAAGCGCATCGCGCACCAGAGGTAGAACAGCTTCGCCCTGGGGCCCGCGAACTTGAGGACGTTGCCAAACTTACTGTGGTCCGTGCAGGGCGTTCCTGTAGGCAGTCTTTGGCATGGAGGAGGAGGAATGAGGGCCAGAGGGAGAGGGAGCAGGGGTGACAGGGGGGGCAAAGTGAGGCGATGATGAGCTGAAGGCTGAGGGAGAGCTCAGAGGCGGGGGGGAGTGGTCAGGGGAGTGTGGAGCTGAGTGAGGGGGGATGGGATGGCAAAGAGTAGTGAGGGGGGAGTGCGGGTGGATGGCAAAGAAGGGACAGGAGAACGAGGCTGCGAGGGGAGGAGGGACTGAGGGTGAGCGGAGCGGGCGCCAGGCAGGGCATGCGGCAGAGGCAGCCAGGCAGGGTCAAACGCGATCCTGCGATGTGCATATCAGCGCGTAAGAATCGACAGCGCTGCTTGTGCCGGATGCAGTAGCAGGACATCTTCACCTTGCACCGCGGCAAGAGGCGCGCCAGCTCCTCAGCGCGCAACTCGGAGCCGTTGTCCAGCCCGACCTTCCGCCTGAGCTCGTCGGGCGTGGTATTGATGATGTCGCCGAAGATGCAGCCGTGGGGCTGTAGCCGTGTTTCAGTGGTGGGGAGCGGCGCTGACCCCTGCCCGCGTGCCCATTCCTCACCCCTCACCTCCTCCTCCCCCTCCCTCCGCCTCATCCGCATCATCATCATCCTCGTTATCGTCATCCTCCGCATCCCCAGACTCCGTACCTCTCGCATGCGCGCTACGATACCCCCACGCAGGTGTCTGGCACGCGTGGCGTGGGCCGGGCCTCGAGCGTGCATGCGTGCGCACGGCTGGCACGCAGCGGCAGCAGCCAGGCAGGGGGGAAGGCAGCCAGCAAAGGAGGGGAGGGGGCGGGCGTATGCTATGGAGGAAGGGGAGGCGCCGCGGCGAGCCTCGGCGAAGAGCAGCTCGTCCTGGCAGCGCTGATTGAATTCCAGCGACCACAGGTGCTTGAAGCGAACGGGCCTGGGACGGGGGCCCGGGCGCGGCCCGTTGGGGGGCGGCGGCGCGCCGCCAATCTTGTCCTGCCAGCGCTGCGCTCCCGCCGTCAGCAACTTACCAGCGAGCACGTCGGTCCCGACCCCCGAGAACGAGCTGCTGACTGTGATCGGCCGCCGACCGAAAAGGATGCTGTGCAGAGCGTCCGTGCCGATGGCGGTCTCGGCCCTGCCCAGCGCAGTGTCGACCCAGGTCAAAGCATCGAATGGATCGTTGACTGTTGTCGGCGGGGGCCCCCCTGTCATCATACGGTGGGTGAGCGGCAAGAGCAGGGAATCCTCCCATGCGCCGGTGGTGGTCACCCCCTGCTTTATGCGACGCCGAGCATTGACAGTAGAAGCATTAGGACTGCGGGTCAGAGACGGCACCGACTGCTCAAAGCGACTTAACATGGCAGGCAGCGCAGTGTGCCCGATAGCACGTGGTGTACAGATGTGGGCACGATGCGTCAGACTGACTCAACCAGTATGGCTACATTCGCATGGTGCCGCACGCATCTGGGGCGATGTGCATCGTCGCCACGGCTGGACGCGGCTGGCTGCGGCATGGCAAACTGATCAGGACGGCATGCCGCGGGTATGTGATTTTATGCGTGTCATGCGCTTTTTCTAAGAATTTCACGATGTCGATACGAGGTGATTTTCATTGATTCTGGGGGGGGTCGCGGAGTGATGATCCTTCCCAGGCCGCCCCGGGAGTGATGGGCATCCCCATCACTCCCAGGTGGGGGGGTCTGGGAGTGATGGGCATGCCCATCACTCCCGGGAGGGGGGGTCTGGGAGTGATGGGGATGCCCATCACTCCCGGGGCGGCCTGGGAAGGATCATCACTCCGCGACCCCCCCCCAGAATCATTGAAAATCAACCGAAATCCGACCCGACGGGACCCCATCAAAATCAGTCATGATGAGCCGTATCGCATGGTGTTTTTACAGCGGATAACTTGACACGGATGGGTTTCCGCTGCCCCCCCCGACGCAGGTGCCGCCGTGCGGTCGGTCATCCTGCTGGTGTTACGACCGTGCTGGAGGCGCCCGGGAGCTGGGGAGGAAGGCTGAGGAGGCGAGAAAGAGAGGTGAACATGGGGTTGCCCGCCCAACTGGAAGATGTGCGGTGGGGGGGAACCACCCGCGCCGACTTGGTGGCGCCTCGATTCGGTGACTAACAGCTGACCCGAATGCAGACGTGATCCGAGGGGGGCGCGTGCCCAGCAGCGAGGGCACACCAAGTACGTGAGGCAGGAGCTGGGCTGGGATGGGATGGAGGGAGGGCGGTACCATGGGCGAGCGAGTGAGCGGGCAGTTTTGCAGCACCGTCGCGCGCGCTCAGCGTGCGGCGCGAGCACTGTTCTGAGACGCTGGCACCGTCTCGCCTAGCTACTGCGCGTGCATGCGCGCACCCTCGTGATCAGGCGGACCCCTCGGCCTCCTGAGTGCGATGCAACGCGTGCTCCATACATCGCATGCACGCTGGGCACACCCACGACGCAATTCGCGCGATGGGCTCGTACAAGAGGGCGCGCGTGTGCTGATCACACCTCGCGTTGAATTCCGATTCCGATTCGCCGTGGCGGCGAGAGAACAGGCGCGTGAGGGCAGCATCCCCCAAGCGGCTGGCGAGGCCACTCGACCGGACGCGGGCCGCGCAGGTGTCGTGCCAGACGGCCTGGCAGACGGCGCAGCACACCCAGTCGGTCGGATCACCTGACCGATCCCCTCACTATCCTCGCTGTCGGGATCGCGGGATCGATCCTCAATCCTCGGTGGTCGACGTCGCCCTCGTCAGTCCGAGTCGTCGTCGACGGTTTCACTGGGACTGCGGGGGTGGATGGGGAGAAGGCGAGGCAGGGAGAGGGGCGAGGGAGGGATGGCGGGGACGGGAGGGAAGCGGAAGGTGTTGGGATCTGCGATCGGCTGGGGGGTCAGCAACTCGCTCTCCATATACCTTCCTCCTCCTCGCTCCCTCCCTCTGCCTTTCCCTTCCTCGTCTCTCGCCCTCTCCCTGTCATATTTCATCATCCCCCTCCTCCTTGGATCAAGCTGGGATAAAGGCAGGGCCAGCCTGGCTCGCCGCGCGTAAGGTAAACATATCCAGTACACACGCCGCACCGCGGCGTCTCGTCCTCGAGGACGTCAGCCACAGTCTCGCCCTCCTCGCCGTGGTACGCGAGGTTGAGCGTGGCCGTGACCTGCAGCACCTCGGGGCGGGGCGGCCGCCGGCGGGGCGAGCAGCGGGATGCGATCGGTCGGTCGGTCCGATCCTGAGGGTCCGGACTCGATCGGGATCACCTAGGGGGCCAGGGGTCACGAGAGTTCGGCCCGCGCGCCTGCGGCTCCAATTCAGACCTAGCTGGTCCCTTAAACCGTCGCATTGTTGATCTGCAATTGTGGATCAGTATCACCAGCGTGCGGTTCTCGAGCTGGTCGACGACGCGCACGCGGTTCAGCGGAACACCATCTGGTTGCATGGGCCCTGGCGCAGCGTAGTTGATGTACTTGCCTTCCACCGAGACCCACCTGCCATCGATATTGGCATTGTCCCAATGGAAAAAGCGCAAGGCACCTGCCGTTGAATCTTCGTGGTACTCCATGACTAATGACAAGCAGCCGGTCTCCAGCACCAAGTAGTTGGGCTCCTGGATACAATAGATGGACGGCAGAATGGCTGTCGACAGGGTCTGGTGCCAGTGTTGCACATATGGCTCAATGAAACCATCATCGTCGTCCACGCCGGCATCGTCGCTTGGCCCGACAGGCAGTGCCATGATCCCGACGAGATCACCATCATGACCTGGGTGTGGGTCATTATCCTCATCATGCTCCTCCTTCTTGCACACATCCGCATCCATGGCCAAGATCTCGTCGATGATGTGCTCGTCCAGTGTCCTCGTGGGGTCGTCCTGGGCACGTTGAGCCGCGGCTTTCAGCGCGGCATCGCGAGCAGCGGCGCTAGCTCCCAGGAGGACTGCAGCAGCGCCCGATACGTCGGCCGCCTCAGCCATATCTACCGCATGCTCGTCATACGCGGGGACATCGTCCTCCTCGTTGCCGTCGAGGGCGCCGTCGTCCATCTCGACGGCAAGGAAGCCGCCGACGTCGTCGGCGTCGGCGTCTGCATCTGCATCCTCTCCACCAGCTCCATCTTCGGCGCCGCCGCCCTCGTCGCCATCGTCGCCGTCGTCTTCCCGGCCGCGATGGCGACGACAGGCGCACCAGCTTCCAAGAATGCAACAAGGCTCCTCCTCGATATCGCGAGCTTCCTCCATGGACTGGTACGACCACTCCAACACGTGGAAGAATATGAGGGTGTCAACTTTCTGGTCATCGTCCGGGGTCGCGTAGGCAGCGTGGTGCCGATGAATGATGTTGAATGAAGTATTGAACTCAAACGGCCTGCTGAGCATTATGTCTTGCGCGTCACCCTCAGAAGACACGGCCTTCGTCATCCACACCTGCGAAGAAAACGTGTACGGCGGCAGCCGCGTGAAACACGTGCGCGCCAGCGCCCCCCTCGAAGCTGGAGAGCCTCCAGGGCCCAAGCTCAGGCGCAGTGCGTTCTCGGCTGATGGTCGAGGCTGCTCCCCCAAAAACTCGGTTGCCATACGGTGCAACATGGGGCGGGCCCCTCCTCCTCCTGCACCCCTCCTCCTCCGCCCTCCTCCTCGAGGCTCCTCATCCTCATCCTCGGTGTTTGTCCTGCTCATCCCTCCTCGGCCTTCTCATCCTCCTCTTTCTTCCACTGGTGGGTTGGGCGGGGGGCAATCGGATCGGCTTGGCGACGCTCGCTCCACGGAACTCGGCCTGGGACCCCGGGGCCCCGACCCCCGAGCACGGCGCCCACCTCGGCAGGATCGCACTCCCCAGAGCCCTCGCGCACTCCGAGAGGGGCCGTGGCGACGGCTTGGAGGGCCCAGCGGCCCAGCGGGACGGAGGGAGTGGGGGGGTGGGAGGGGGAGGGCCTCCTAAGTTTATGTTGCTCCCGCTCCCAGTCAAGCCCCCTCCCCGGCCTGAGGCAGACCTTCGCCGCGCACTTGTCGCGGC